TTCATCTTGTCCGTGTTGAGGCTGAGATTATTGTCCTTGCGCCATGACACCAGACGGACCACCTCCCTCCTGTAGGCTGCTTCGTCCCCGCCAGTGATGCAACCTATCACTGCGGTGTCGTGCACGAACTTTAGGATGATGTTGTCTTTGTGGGAGGCGACACAGTCGTGGGTGAACAGGGTGTAGAGGATGGGACTGAGGACACATCCCTGTGGGGTGCCAGTGTTTGTAACAATGCTGGCGGAGATCCTATTGCCAATCCTGACAGTCTGGGGCCTGTCTGGTAATGACCAAATACATTATATACATATACAGCCACTGCTGTGAATGGTTCATCAGAAAGGAAACACTAATAGGAAAGGTAACCTTAAATGACTTCTGTTGTGATCTAGCGCTATATAAAAAATAAAGTTAAATAAAATGTACTTGCCCTTCTTGGGGGCTAATATAATAATAGGGGAAAACACTGGAAGACCAAGCTTGTCAGTTACCACTCAGAATTTAACCCCCTTTGCTTCCATCTAGTGGACTGATCACTGCATGACAGTAAACAGACTGAAAAGTAAACACTAATTCTAATTTATTTACATTTGTATTTTAATGGTTCAGACCAATGAAAAAAAATATATCACTAAAAATATATAATAAGTGACAGATTAGCCAAGTATATGTTTGTCCATAAGGTAGCTAACAAAAACTCTCTATATTATATAGATATTAATATTATCCATGTGGAATTTTTTAAAGTCCAATACATAAAAACAATGACTGCATTCACCAGCTAAATGACCAGGAAATTTCACCACAATTTAAAGGAAAGTATGCTCAGATCAGAAAGAAAAAAATGCTTTCATGGTAAAAGCTACGTGTTGAAAGATTAAAAAAATAAGTCAGGCAGGACAATGTCATGATTGATTCACAATGTGCAGAACACATCGGAAGCTGGGATTATACTTCTGTCATGTTTTTACTCTCCCATTCCTCTGAATGGGAGCATAGGAAAAATTGCCTTGTGTAATAATAACTTTAAGGCAATACGCATTAGTACAGCACGTTTCTACCCAATATGCAGAGATAACTACAAATTGTGCTGATGAACCATTCACAGCAGTGGCTGTATATGTATATAATGTGTTTGGTCGTTACCAAGAGACACAACCAAATGCGATAATTAAAATAATCACGTATGCATTTGTTTAATAGGCGGACTGCAAAGCAGAACCTGAGAAATGCGATAATGTGATGACACGTTCACAACAAACACCGCCATGTCGTTACTCGATCTCAAAAAATGACAAAATAATATCTCTGTATTATTTTTGACCGCCCGTTTCTTAAAGCTTAATCTTAAAGGCTGGTAAAATGGCGGTGGGTAAGGAAAAAAAAGAACAGAGAGATCGCCATATTGTAAACAGAGGCAGCCTCGACTCCATTTTTAGCAGCAGCGGCTCCCCCGGCTGGCGGCCCCAACGCGGGGGGGGGGGGGTGACTCTAACCAATTTAACAGACAAGGGCACACACGTTTCTTTTGACCACTGTACGTGTTAGTAAAATGTTTCTTCGCTGACAATGAATGAAAGTTTGCTCTCAACGACCAGACATGATAAATAAGCCTTTATCAAAGGGCACACATCCCCTCTCGGGGTCCAAGAGTGAGCAGCCATAATGGTTAGCTACTTTAAGCCGAAAAGTAGTAGTACTTATTTGCTCACCAAACTCTAGTATGATTTATTTTCTTCACCCGCATTTAAGTATACCAAAGACACACTGGAACAATGACTTAAAAATATGTATTGTTAATAAGTGTGCTGCTAGTGAATTTGACAAATAATTCAACAGATACAAATTAACGTTTACAAAGTTCTACTCAAGGCTTACTGTCGCCATCTTCGGTTAATTTGTATGAAAAATACATTGTGACCATGAAGCAACCCATCTATATGGTTTAAGATGAGATTTCATTGAATTAACCGCGAGATTTTGTAGACAAATAACGTTACGGGCTGGTTTTAAAATGAATGAATAAATAAATAAACACTACCAAGACAGAATTTAATTCACAATCTCGCGGTGATGTCTCACGCGGACCAACTACAACTGCAGCACCATCTACAACAAAATCTCTCACGTTTTACAGGGGAACAAAACTCTTCAGCTATGCATGGTGCTAACGAACACACTTACAGCCTCCGTATTATTTAACATGAACCGTATTCGGCCAGTTTTGTTCAAATAATTGTAACTTACCAGCACTGGAGGTGGAAGGCTGCAGGGCAGTGATCGCAGCACAGCAAGTCTCCACCTTCCCGGCAACTATCGCAGGTGTCATGGTTGGTGGCTCTGCCACTTCTCCGGACGTCTCTCACCAACTTCCGACTCCTCTTCTCTATCTCTTCGGACTTCGGGGGCGCCAGCAGTGTTTGGATTTGCTGTAAAAATTGCCCAGCTGTTCAGTATAGGATCACGGTTGCCCTGTCTGATTATCTGTCTACAGAATTAGAAATATGCACCTTTGAACCTTTCTATGCTATTTCATGCTAAACCTGGGGAGAGCGGTAACGTTCACTTGTGGCCTCCGTTATCAACCCTAGCTAGCAGAAAAATGCTTCACAGCAGGCTATGGATTTCTAATAATAACCGCAATTAATATCACGGCTAAGACATTAAAACACTAGCAGTACGGGAATATTTCACTTATTTACGGTCTTCGAGTAACGTTAGAGCAACCTCACCTCCATTAAGCCCCCAGAGGTATCCAAATCGTACACAATCGTCGGGGTCTCCATTTTGTCCCACATTCATTTAGGAGCACACGTTACAACAGTAATGTGCAACAGCAATGCCTACCGGATACACAACAATTACAGTAAATCCCGCACTAAATTTGTTTTTCTTAAACGTTTTGACCAGCGAATGGGTGGTCAAGCGACGCTAGCTATCGTTTGCTAGCTGTAGGAGCTAACTAAAGTTACGTCAACCAGTCAAGGTTGTGCAGCTAGCGGGCTTACTAGCTAGAGTTGTTGGTCCAAAAGACAAAAATCAACTATGATTATGTAATTAAAATGTTGCTTTCTTAGCACCACTTTCTTCGACCTAGTGTCAAGCCTATGTAAAATATTTAATATAAACAAACGGTTGCTGCTAGCTAGAGAATACATCTGCGGCCTAGCTTGCCAGCCATGATTCTTCTTTCTGCTCCTGCAAAAATGAGCCTTGTAAATTTGCAAACCCCTCCACTCCCATTGTCTACACAAGATGTAGCCAAAAATACAGATGGAAACTCAGCTTGGCGCGGTCCAAAGTACGTTTTCCGACAGCGTTCAGACTGTATAATCCTCAAGTCAGGTATATGGAGATGGAAAATAATGGATGTTATTGTTGTGGGAAAAGACTGTGCATCTACACTGGCTGCTAGCAACATCCCTTACCAGTTGGCGCAACCGCGAACCGCCAGTAGCGCATGCGCATTTGAACGGATATAGTGGTCCCATAGTACAGCCATAGCAGTGTGTTGCATCCGGTTACTGTTGTACTAGCATTACGGTTAGAGTTAGATCCCAAAACTGGAGAGTAGAAGTTATATTCCTTGTATATAGGTTTACCTCTTACATTAATCCGTTTCTAACCTTCACAGCAACCCTTAGCAGCTGTGTATTATGTTTAGCCCCAGCTGTATCCTAACCATACACAGTTACATCTGCTTACTCCTGAGCTGTTTACCCTAGAAATAAAGTTAACATGTCATTATTAATTTCAGACTACTTCTGACATTAGTATTGTTGTGTTAATGCTGTTACTGAAAGAAACAACTGCTTCCTGCTAATGAACTTTACTGAAACTCAAAATACCCTAGCTGTTGCTACTAAAACAGTGCTACTTCTATTGAATTAATATCACTATTGCCTGCAGCTCACCATAGTGCTACCAGTGTTGTCACAATGTGTTTCCCCCAGGGGAACATATTTTAACACAAGACCTGTCCTAAACTGGCATTTTCCTTATCATTCCCACACACCAGGCTATTGTTTTACTATTGCTAGCACTACTATTAAGCTACTACTACTAATGAGTAGTACTACCGCAGATGTTACCACAACTTGTAATTTTACCTGGGAAAATTTATTAAACAAGAATAACTACAAGCACATGACAAAATAGCAAAATACCTTGAAGTCAGTATAAATGTAGAGTTTGAGCGATGGTGTCGATGTGAGCTTTTCCAGTCTTTGTAATAAAAGAAATGAAAACAAGGAGGGCTGACACCACAACAGTGGCTAACCAAATGGCCACCTGTTGTGGAAGGTGACTGGCAATGTTGGAAAATGACAGGCTATACATGAACTAGGTGTTCTCAGTTTGTCACAGATAATCCACCTGTTGGCTTACGGTAAGGTGAACATTGCTGAATGAATAGCAGCGGATCTCACACTGTAACAGTTCTCCTATATATTGACATTAAATTTGTCACAAGAGATAAGTAGGCATAAAAATATTCTTGATTTTGAGTCTTATACTAATCAGAATGTAAACATCCAATCCCTGGTGGCCTGCATCACAGTGAGAATAAAACTGTTCATAATCCAGGAGATTAAGGTTAAAGTCCCAATTTAATTCCAGGTTGTCTAAGATCACCTCAAACACCCCAGCCTCATGGATGATGGGTAATTTGTAGCCCTTACCAACAGAGGGAGCCAGTGCTCTGTTACAGTTTGGCTAGTTGACTAAAAACATGGGAAGAATACACAGAATACACAGTTGTGACACACAACTCATCTTCCCCATTCATGATTACAACTGGCTTGAGGATGGTTGTATTGGGTCAATTTATCCTGTTTGTAATGTAGTCGTCATAGTTTTTATGTACTGTACTCTGGCAGGTACTGTAGTCATCATCACCAGTCTAACAATTCCGGGTAAACTGCAACCTAATTATACCTGTAGGACCATCCTCAGTAGCAAGTCTGACCTGTTAAGTGTCCAAAAATGTCCTCTAAACTGGCAAACCAGCCCTGCTTGGGCAATTTAAACAAACTCAGACTGCCTTTCCTAGGGTTTTTATTACCACCAGAAATTTATTGTGATTTTGTCAGTTAAGAGAAAGGCACTACAAATCTCTACCTGCACTGCTTGCAAAAGTGGCTGCAAACCCTGAGAATACAGTTGCCACAAAAAGTAATGGCACTGTATGCAATTTCCTGGTTTTCTGCATAAATGAGTCATTAAATGTAATCTAAACTTCACCAAAGTCACAAATACCAACAAGCACAATATTTTTAAATTGATAAAACACAAACAGTTATTATCTTTCATGTCTTTACTGAACACACAAATTAAACATACAAAGTGATGGTAGAAAAATGTTATGGCAAGGGTTTTAATAATTGGTTGAACCACAGGAGGAATTTTTGGACCATTTGCAAAAAACCCTTTAATGTAAGAGGATTGGTGGGGGCACTTTTGAGAGAAATTGAATTATATCTCTCTTTTATGCTACATACTTGATATCAATTTCAACTTTTTTACTTAAAGCATTTAAGAGTTACAGCAATTTCTGGGAAATCAGTGGTCCTTGATTAATATGCAGTTTTGTGCAGAAAATGCTTTAAAATCTAATCATGTTATTTACTATATGAGGAAATTGTGTTTAATTATAAAGTTTCTACTGTGTATCATTCTTGAGTTAATATAATATAATCTGTTGCTAGGCAACATCCCCCTTTGATTTATGACTTTGATTTATTGCCCTAACGAGTCATGCTACTTAAAACGATTTCACATATCTGTGTTACTTTTCTACTACGGAACATTTTATCATAGGTTTTATAAGGTGACAGTGGTGCGGTGGGTAGAGCAGCTGTCTCCCAACAGGAAGGTTCAGATCTCGGCACCTGCAGTTGAAGTGTCCTTGGGCAAGACACTGACACCCCCACCCCACCCCTGTTGCCTCTGATGGCTAGAGCCATCAAATTTTGCTAACTGCAGTTGCCTGTAGCCTAATTTGCCTGCAAATTTTGTTGCCTGCAGTCCACATGTCGAAGTCATAATCGAATCGAAAACATAATTTCATTGTACGTGTTACAATGACAATTTTTTTTTTTTTTAACTTCTTTGGGTCAAAAAGGCAGAGGGCGGGGAGGATCACTGCAATCACTGCAGACCCTGGACACAATCTGTTTGAACTCTTCCCCTCTGGACAGGTCACTGTGCACCAAGACAACAGGCACAGGGACAGTTTCTTCCCCCAGGCCATCACTTTGATGAACACTTAACCAACGATGATGATTGGATAATAACCCGCAGTGCAATGTATATATACATTGTACAGATTATACAGACTCATACAGGTCTCTAGATCTTAAGTACTCTGTTTTTATCTCATTTCAATGAACATTCCATTGTTGTCTGCATTGTTTACTGTCTGTCTATACTGCTTATTCTGCATTGTTTGTACTGTTTGTTGCTGTCAATGTTGCTGTTAATACAACTTATTTTGTTATATTACACAGCCTTATGCTGGTTTACTGTTTGCACATTGAGAGCTGATGTACCAGAGTCAAATTTCTTGTGTCCCTCACACCTGGCCAATAAAGCTGATTCTGATTCTGGTAACAGTATTATAGGATTTTATTATGGTTTCCTGCAGTGCGGAATATGACAGAAGGCCATAAAGTTATTGAGCTATGTGGTGCCACATATTATGTTGAATGGGTAAGTTGGCCAGCTATTGCTATTACTGATAAAGTTAGCCAAATAGCAATAATGTACGAACTTTACTATATTCTTTGTGGAAATTGTATTAGCTCACTAGCTTGTTCACAAACATTGCCACATTGCAATCTATCTTAGCTTGCTAGATGCTAGAGTATTATAGCCTTAGTGCTGCACCAGGAGTGAGTAGGGCTCGAAATACTGTATGTTTGCTCTGTCTATATAGCATCTTTTTTGTAGTTTTAGTTTGTTGGACAATGAGGGTATGTTGGTTGTGTGTAACACTAGAGCACTCACGACATTTATTCTGAACATTTTTTAGCCATAAGACAAAATTTATATAACATTACGTTTCTATGCTCTGCCAGCCTGTGCTGCTCTGCAATGTGTTCATCTAACTTGTGCTACAGTGCCCTGTGCATATGATCTTTTGATAAAGTAACTGTAGTGGTATGGGAGTAAAAGTCAGAAATGACAAGCTTTAGATGAACTTCACTTAGGCTACCCGTCTCAAAGTGTACTGTACATGCAACACATAACTTATAATGAAAACTATAGCTGGAACTGACTACCCATAATACCATTCAACCATCAGTCCCCCTGCTAGCCTAGAGGGCAGCTGAGTAGCACAATGTTGAATAGAACACAACAACAATGAAGTGCATCAAAGAGGTGCTGTAAAATGGAAGGTAGTTTTGCTTAGTTGGAGGATGAGTGTGTAAGCAAGGAAGTGTTGTTGGATGTATGTACCCTAATTGCAGTCATGGTAACCAGGATTCTTTGGCTTTGTTACATGTAGTCCAAAGAAATGCTGTTCTACATGTATTGCAGTATCTACACTATGGCTAAGTGTGTTTAAATCGGGGTGGTTAAAGATTAAGTTAAATATGCCTACTTACGGAATGTTAATTTAATTTTTTTTTCATCCTGCTGTATGTTCATAGCATGTTTTTGGAGCTATTGTAAAGGTCTGTGAACCATAATTTGGAGATTTAGACCCATTTGGGCAGTTGTGCTGCACCATGTGGTCTGCCCTTTGCTGCTGTGGCTATTCATTAGTTCTGCCACTAAACAACAGATTATGTAAAATGTTTTATAATCTAAGAAAATACATTTGTTATTTTCTTGCTCTGAGTAGGCCTTATTTTAGATCATCCAAAATGTGAATGTGAAATAATGTGAAAAATGTGATCTCTGATCGATATTACCCTACAGAAAAATACTGGTTTGAATTTATGCAGTAATTATAGTTTATAATATGTGCTGGCATACATATTGATGAATATAATTTAGACTTTAGAATTTAAAAGGTCAAAATGACCACATAAAAGAGTTCTAGCAGTTATGGAACTCTGGCTAGTTTGGTAAAAATGCCTAAACATTTAACAGATGTTAGGATGGGAACTGAGGACGCATCCCTGTGGTGTGCCAATGTTCGTGATGATGCTGGCTGAGGCTGACAGTCTGGGGTCTGCCAGGCAGAAAGTCCAGGAGTCAGTCACAGAGGGTGGGGTGCAGGCCTAGGGTGGACAGTTTGTGGGGGATAACTGTATTGAAAGTTGAGCTGTAGTCAAAGAGTATTCTGATGTAGGAGTCTCTATTTTCCAGGTGGGAAAGGGAATAATGGGGCGCAGCCGCAATAGCATCTGAGGTGGCCCTGCTGGGCCAGTAGGCATACTGCAGGGGATCCAGGGTGTCCAGTATACTGCTCTGA